GTGAAGAATTCTGACTTGAGGATTAGAAAGAAGGGCTCACACTGTCTCTGCCACTTGCTGGAAGAGTGAAGTTACTCAACTTCTGCAAGCTTGCCTCATAGGATAGGAATTATTTAAAGCACATTGCCTGCGACAGACTAGGCACACAATAAATACTAATTACCAACTTCCCTTCCTCCAATAACACCCTAGGAAGGCACAGCTATATAAATGTTCCCATTTTTAAAAATCTGAAGTGGAAATGAGGAAAGCTGAGAATTGAATTTGCATCTCAGAGCTCCCAACTGGGTTTTTTTGTTTCTTTCCTTGTGTTGTGTTTTTGTGTTTTTAACCTGACAAGAAATGGTTTGCAAAGTAAGATAACAAGGTAAAGCAAAGGCAACACCTGATGCACTGAGCACAAAACAGAATCCAACAATTCTGCCTGCCCCTGTTGATTAGTGTTTTTCTAAGTAGCAAGAGAGTCAGAGCCTAGTTTGTTTTTCTCTTGTCTGAAATTGGACCGTGGAAAACACCTCAGTAATAATAACTACAAAAAGATTAAAGAACGATGATTGAAAAACTGTGTTTGGGGCATATTATATTTTACAGTTCTGGGTGAAAATTAGCATTGATAGGCCCTTTGGGGATAGATTGGGGCTTGGAAGGAGGTAAAAGGTTTAAGACCAATAAGAACAAGGGAAAGACCACATTGGTACACCTGACCCATCTACAGGTGAGGGTACTCACAGGGAAAGAAGCACAGGGACTGGGCTGTTACTGTCATAGTTCCAAGGACCAGGAAGTGAAGGAAACAACAACAACAACAACAAAAAATGGCCCTAGCTCAAAGGCTGTTGGCCCATTGCTGACCTTGACACTGTAGGGAGTCCAAAGAATGGCTATGAGAGTTCAAGGAAAGACTAAAATCAATTGCAATGGATAAGCTGCACTGGATTCTTTTAAAAATTAAAGAAATAATGATATCACCGTATTGTTCTACTCTCTAATTATTCCTGTATCTTGATTTAGAGTGTGACTTTAGATCAAACACTTTCCATTCTCTAGGTCATCATCTGTTCAAAGAAGAAGTCGGTTTAGATCACTGTCGTGGCTCAGGCTGCTATCACAGAATACCACAGACTGGGTGGCTTAAACAACAAACACTTATTTCTCATAGTTCTGGAGGCTGGAAGTGCAAGATCAGGGTACCAACATGGGGTTCCGGGGAGGGCCCTCTTCCTGGCCTGTGGAAAGCTACCTTCTTGCTGTATCCTCACACGGTAGAGAGAGTGTGCTCTGGTCTCTTCATCCCCAAGAAAGGCACCAATCCCATCGCGGGCACTCTATGCTCATGACCTCATCTAAGCCTCATTACCTCCCAAAGGCCCAACCTTCAAATATCATCACGTTGAGGATGAGGGCTTCAACATATGGATTTGGGGGGACAGGAATATTCAGTCCCTAGCAATTACCTCTGAGTCCCTTCTCTCTGATACTGTATATGAAGGTTCCCTATTGCCCACCAAATCAAATTCAAATCATCTGTCCAGCTTTCAAGATCTTCCATAATTGGATGTTATCCAAGGTACCAGATGTGTTTGATGAACACTCGCCTCCCTTTAGATCAGTCTCTAGCATGCCTTCACTACAAGCTGTATTAATCGATTACCTCCAACTTTTTCCATGTTCATTCTCCTCTCTTGGAGTGCACTGAATTCTCTCCATTGCCTCAAGGACTAGCCATTTTGTAGGAGCCATTCTTCCAGTCCTCAGACTATGTCACAGGGAAGAATAACATTAATATAAAGTTTTCCTCCTGTGTAGTATAGAGGAGGTTTTAGGATTAGCATAGACAGGGATTTTAAAAGCGAAGTTGTTGTTGTTTCATATTGTTTTAGTTCATGTAAATGCCAGTTCTAAAAATTTGAAATTAAATTTAATATGTACAAATCATGTCCCAGAGCTGCTGTTATTAATCACAAAATCAAAGATTAACAGCATAGGAAAAGACAAAGGACAACAATTTAAGGTCAATTACAGCCGAATATATATAGGATCACACTTTATATCTTTACAAATACCAAGCAAATTCTCTGGTATTTGTGATAATATAAGAAGGCCACAGTATTAAGGATTTGCCATTCATTGTAACATTCTGCTGAAAACCATTTGTATGCCTCCACACTAGAATTCAGTATTAAATATTTAATCAAAAAAGATTCCAGCTTGGATTTTTTTCCCTAGGACTTGATCTATGGTAATCTTTTAAGAAGTTCAGAAGCAGAAGGCAATAAAAGACATTCCTGCTTCTGATAATCGTCCATGGTAAGTCATTATTGCTCGTAGGAATACAACACATAATACAACTTGAAGAAACATCTGTAATGGTTACCTGAAATTATAAGAACAATACTATTCTAAAACCAAAAAGAGGTTTTTATGAGGCTTTATTACTGCTCCATGGGAATGCCTGAGAATGTGTCTACTGATAATATGGTATAAACAGACAACTTGTAAGTGAGGAAATGGAAACTTTGGAAAAAATTTCAACATCATTAATAACAATACGATTGTATTTTCCAACCATCCAAATAGTAATGAAGTTTGTGTTAAAAGAGATGAAAAAAAACAAAACAAAACACCTCCAGGAGTTGAGAGCAGCTCAGTCCCTTGGACTTGGAGGTAGAGAGATATGTGTGCTGGACAGCTCCCTTTGCCCCTCCAAGTCTGGTCTCTACCCTTTTCCAGACCCTGCTTGTGCCTTTGGAGACAGAGCTTATCAGAATACATCAATGGGGCTCCCTTGCCTCTGGCTTCCGGTCAGCCTCATCCAATGGGAGACACCAGCAGGAGATCAGGGGGTGGGGTCACAGGGGTTGTGCTTCCCTCCCAAAGACCATAGCTCTTAGTGGTGGTCCTTTTCTATAGCTACCAGTCTTGCCAGTTTCAGGTAATTGCTCCTTTTCCTTACCATTTCAGATTAAGGGGTGGCTGTGGCCTCTTGCTGTTGGTAGCTCTGGAGTGCTTCTCCATCTCTTCTTGGTTTTCCTTACCTTGGCCACACCTTACAAATTATCCCTTCATTAAATCCTGTCCAATCATCACTTTAGAGTTTGCCATCCACTTCCTGCCAGGACCCTGAGATCTCCAGAACATCTGCCAATCTACTCGGGCCCCTAAGCAAGTGAGGACCTCTTTTCATCCCAATCCTCTATTCCTCCTATAGCAGGTAATGTCTGTTGCTTTGCCTTCCCCAGACTCCATTCAGTCTCTTCCTTGCATGGCAGCCAAACTTTCCATTAGAGAACCACCTCTCCTCATCTCTCAGGGCACAAGGTTTGGATGAGGCTGATCTCAGCACAACCCAGGATGAACATCTGATCTAAGTCAGTTCAAGTAGGCTTAATCTCAGGACTTCTGTTGCAACTGTGAGGGCAAAGAGGCTTTTATTCAGGTAGACAGGTAGGCCATAATGGAAAACAAAAGCCTGGAACTGTTGGGCCAAGGATGAAAGCTTGCCTACATGTACACCAATGAAGTGGGCAGGGTGCAAAAAGATGGAGAAGCAGGCCTAGTATCATTATTTGGATCCCTGGATCCCACCATGGCTGAAGCTGATCCTTGGGTACTGTTCACTTTTCTTAAAAGTGATACATCCCTTTTTTGCTCAAGCTGAGGTGAGCTTTCTGTCATTTGCAATGAAAATATCCCCCACACAGTTGGAGGAAGTAAAAAGTAGAGAGTATTAGAGACTGTTGACTTCTAAAATGATGTCATCCTGATCTGCAGTATTGTTTTCATTGAGAACCCCAGCACATAGGTCATGAGAGGCTACCTATGGTTTTTGTTTATTACACTCTGGGTGCTACCACCATTTGCATTGTTCCTTTCATCCTTTGAAATCTGTGAGAGATGGGACAACACCAAATCAAACAACCCACCCTGTGTTGAACTCTGCGGCTGAGACTCAGGCATGAACTGGTGCAAACAAAGAACAATGGTGGAAAACAGCCTAATGCTGTGTTCAAGTATTATTTTCAAGTGCCGTTTGACTGGGCCTTCTCAGATGACATGGTTCAGTGGCAGAAAAGCTGTTTATTGTGACAATCATTATTCCCATTTACCGCCTATTACAGTGTGAGTCACTGGGAGGTCAGACTGTTCCAAAAGCCCAGTGTTCCTGAGCACTCAAGGTCAAGTTCAAGGGACAGCAATCAGGTATAGGAATAATGGCAAAAGCTCAATCCTTTGAAATGAAGAGAAGGGTTAACTCCCAGCAGAATGCTGCAAAGTGAGTTTTACTATCTTCAACATATCATGTAGCTTGGGAAAAGAAATCAGAGTGACAGTGTTAACATGACCCCAGGTCCTTTTCCACAGTAGCTGTCCTCCCTGAGAACAAAGATTAAATCTTCATTCATCCTTATACACCTCACCCCTGCCTAGTACCGTGCCTTGCACAAAATAGGTGCTCACAAATGATGACCTTCAGGGCCTGCTGGCTTAAGAATACAGATAAAATATAAGATAATATATCGAAAGAGCCCACACCTGGTAGTTGCTAAGGACTCCTTGCTGTTATTGCTATTATTTGTAAATGAATGCATCTACATTATTAATAAGCAGGTTCATGAAAACTCACAGAAACCCCCTTTCTAAGCAACCTTTTCCACTTCCTTACCTCACAAGGCAAAAGCTCCATTGGGCATTTGAGTTATTTTCCCTGACCTTCATATGTGTGACAAACTACGCATCTACTCACTCATTCATCCATTTGATAAACAATCTGTGACCACCTGTAATTTGCGAAGTCTTGGACTCTATGTCGGGGAATCAAAGCAGATTAGGACATAGTCCCCCATGTATAACACAAGCCTGCTAGAGATGGACAGGAAGTCCAAATAGCCTGTGAATGAGAGATCCAGCCTATGGAATGAGGTAACTGACTTCATGGTTGCAACAAGTGCTGGGGGAACCCGGGGGGGAAATGTCTACTCCTAGGGGAGCATTTTCCTTACCTTATCTGCAAGCCAGCCAAGATGCCTGATCTCTCGGCTCCCAGCAATGCCTGTTTTCCCCAGCTGCTCTCTGACCTCAGCAATCACTTGGGTCAGCAGATCACTAACATTGGAATGGATGGCACTGAACCAGGCCTGGGCAGTGGCTGAATCCTTGCTCCTTAGGATCACCGTGTGCTTAGCATCTGGAGAGTGGATTTCAAGCTGCCTAGAGAAGCAGAGAGAGAAGGGTTAGAATGTTTCCTGGTAGGTCATGCTTTGTCAAGTCCTGGGCCACAGAGGTGAATTAATTCTGTACTCTTACTTTTGGACTTTGTCAGCTTTGCATGGTTTATCTTAATGTTTCATTCATTCATTCATTCATTCATTCACCCATTTGTTCATCCACAAACATCCACTGAGTGCTTAGGCATTGGTCTAGATATTGGGGACATAGTTATTCAACCATCAGATCACCTGAATTAAGGATGTCTGGTTTTCCTATTATTCAGCTGACTGGCTTATCAATAGTATCATATCAAGACTTCCAAACTGTGAGCTGATACTAATTTGCTTTACCTCTCAATCCACAGAGGATTTTAATAATGTACACACATGCTTGCTGCTCCTGCAGAAAGTAGACTGAAATATCCAGCCACATGCTTAATCCTACTGCTCAGTGTTAATTGTGAATATTTAAGAACGAAAGATCACCAAACTTTGCATTCCTTAGGAATCCTGTCCGTGGCACACTTACCCACCATTTAATCCTTGGACATGTGTAATGAAGAAGCGAATGGGCCTAGGATGGGGCCACAGTGGGGGAGAGAGGCGCACTAAGAGCTCTTTTAAAGCCGAATAAGAAAAGAAAGCAAAAGTCAAACACCAAAGCTTACTCCAGAACTCCACATAGACCACCTGAGATACAAAGTGAGATCTGCATACTGTGACTGTGGTAAAAGAAGGAAGTTCTAGATAGATATTTTTTTGAAGTACTCCTAGATTAACATGACATTGCAAAAATAGTATATATAGACAGTATAATGGACTCTCCGTCCATTATACCCTACAATATCAAAACCAGGAAACTGACGTTGGTACAATGCAGGTGTGTGGTTCTATGTCATTTTATCACCTGGGAATCACAGCACTCAGAATACAGGACTATTCCAACCCCACAAATCCCTCCCTCCAGCTACCCCTGATAGTTACAGTGCTCTGCTCTCCACTGTCATCCCAAATCCCTGGCAACCATTAACCTGTCCTTCACACCTATACTTTTTAGACAGCTAATTTTTATTGCATTTATTCATTCAGGTATACATGCAAATAAATATTTTACATTCACTTTTGCATCAGAAAGATACAGGAATTGGGAAAATTCAAAACTGAATAAAAATGATCCATTTGTTATTTCATCCCTTAATTATTATGCTACCATGCATTGAATACTTACTATTTATGTATGTATTTCTCCTAATATCCCTAGGACTGTTATTATTAATCCTATTTAATAGAAGAAAAAACTAAAGTTTGGAGGGAGAGAGAATTTACCCAAGGCCACACAGTGATGCTAGGATTCAAACCTATGTTGGTTAGGCTCAAAATCCCATCAATTTAGCTACTGTATTACAGTATCTCTCCTTTAGACGGGACAATACCCCATAGGGGGGCACTCATTTTCTTCCACAGCTGTCTGAAGTCTCATTCTCATGCTCAGTAGTGTCCTTAGCTCCTGAGTTTTGAAATAACAATATTGCAGATCACCTGAAAATCAGAAATCCCAACGCAACCTGGCCTTGTTAACATTCAAAACCAAACTTTTAGAGTGAGTAAACCGTTTTACTCATAAACTAAAATTGTAGGAAAGGAATGATTTAGAAAGTGGAATGTCTCTGGGGGAGTTTTAGCAAAAATTAACATTTTTTTTTTTGGTCAAAAATTTGCAAAACAAGACTCCTCACTAAGACTCCAAAGGTTTTTTTGTGATAAAACAGGGAATTCTTTAGGTGACATCTGTCCTCAGAAGAAAAAAATCTCATGCCTCTTGGGCACTTTTCAAAGAAATGGGAGGTAGTTCTTGCCCACAGTTCTCACTCTTCAGTAAAGTTACATAGCCAAATACCAACCAGGGTTCTCAAAAAGCATTAATGAGAGCTCAAAGCACTTTTCTTTTTCTTTTTTTCTTTTTTAAAGATTTTTACTTTATTTATTTATTTTTTTTAAGTAGGCTCTATGTCCAGCATCGTGGGGCTCAAACTCATGACACTGAGCTCAAGACTTGAACTGAGATCAAGAGTTGGACACCTCACCAACTGAGCCACCCAGGCACCCCAAGATTTTATTTTTAAGTTATCTCTACCCCCACATGGGGCTCAAGCCCACAACCCCCAAGATCAAGACTTGCATGCTCCACTGACTGAGCCAGCCAGGTGCCCCTCAGCATGCTTTTCAAATTATTCTAACATGATCTGTTATTCTAGAAATTTAAAACCTGCAACTATTTTATTTACAATATTTTCTTTTGAAGACGTGTATTTGTTTTTAAACAAATGATGATTTGGGAAGCCGCCACCCCCCAGGTGTCACACACATATATGCACATGATGCCAGCAAGGTAGAAAGGAAACAAAGAACATCTTTGTTGGATTGTCAGCCTACCCCCAGAGGAAAGCTGACTTGTAAACAAACGTACAGGCTAATGATACAGAGGCCTGTTTCTCCCGGGCCCTAACAGCATTTATCATCATTAATTTTTAAGTAAACTTTTTAAGTATAACCTACAGACAGAGAAGTGTACAAATCGCAGTGCACAAATGTACTTTTGCAAAGGGAATGCATTTGTGGAACCGCCACTCAGATCAAGGAACGGAACACTACACGCATCCCAGAAGTTCTCTTCCGGCCCCCTTTCCAGCTATTACCGCCCCACCCCTCACCAAATCACCACTATTTCTACCACCACGAATTACTTCTATCTCAGCCAAAATGTGTGAGTTTTTGTTTTCATTGGCTGTTGTTGCCTGAAGTACAGGGAGGATCTTGGGCTATTTCTGGGGCAAACTAGCAGGTCCTATACTTTTAGTGGTGGTTCTCAAAGTGCCGCCGAGTGGCAGCAGCTGCACCACCCGGGGAACTTACTAGAAAAGTAAATTCTCGGATCTCACTATTTCTAACGTCATGGAATGGAAAAAGGATAACTTTGGGGAGAGCGGCATGAGTCTTCTGCAAGATCTTGGATGACTTGGGGCAAACCTGACACTCCATCCCCTGTGATCCCCTCTACCTCTGTTCTACCTAAAAGAGCCCCAAGAGGCCCATGTTCAGGAGCATACGTTGGTAGGAATTAGGACCATCACTAGAGCTACAAACATCTGCTAAAGCCCCTTTGTTTTCTCAATGCATGAGCCAACCAGCAACTGTGAGGGTGAAAGATTTTGCTGATAACATACTACAAAAGAACCATTCTCACATATTTCATGTAAGCCATTTTTTTAAAAGCAATTTCAACTCCAACAAGTACTTCATCCATTTGTAAATGTATGGAAGGAGACAAAGGTGAAGAAATGAAGTAAAAATAGGGGAGAGGCGGAGTGGGGAGAGGAAGAAAAGGATAATAAGAAAAACTCTAGGGTGGAAATGCTATTGTGGCTGGGTAGCTGAAGTCATTAAAGTCAGAGAACCACAAATGCATGATACAATGGAAGTTAAAAAGCACAGGACAGGGGTGTCTGTGGGGGGTTCAGTCAGATAGGCGACCAACTCTTGGTTTTAGCTCAAAAGTCATGATCTCTGGGTTGTGAGATCGAGAGCTCTACGTGGCGCTCTGTGCTGGGTGAGGGGCCTGCTTAAGATGCTCTCAGTTACCTCCCTTCCTCTTCTCTCTGTCCCTCTCTCTCTTAAAAAAATAATAATAATAAATAAAATCTTGAAAAAAAAAAAAGCACAGGGCAGAACAGTGAGAGTAGTGTGGTATCAATGATGTCAAAGTGATTTTTATAGATGCTTGTGACTGTGGAGACTATGCTGAGAAATGTATCCAGGTGGGTTCAATGAGGAGGGAAATTGAGCAACACGAAGACAAGATTAGAAAGGAGACTTCACTGTTTCACATTCTGTCTTCTGAATTTTGTTCCATGTATGCATTGTGTACTCACTGTACTGGAATGGCAGAGAAGGAGGAGGAGGAGGAGGAGGAAGGGCAGGTGGATCGGGCTGCAGGTTAAAACAACTTGTCTCAAATCCAAGCTCTGTCACTTATGAACTATATATACTCTCTTATGACCATCTGTGATTCCTTCTGCCCAGTTTCCATTCCCCCTTTCTGGAAACAGGCTTTACCCCCATTCTCAGCCTCAATGGTTTGGGGGTTCAATGGTTTCAATGTTGTAGGTGTGATCTAATTTGGGTCATGGAGATTTGGCCCAGGATTTCTGTAGGAGTAATTGTTAAGGAGATGTTTTTTCCTTACCACATCTACTGAGGGGTCAGATAAAATCATGGATTTACTGAAGGCCATCTTGCCATCAAGAGGGGAGGGCCTGCCTGCAAATGAAGCCAACGCTGAGGAAAACAGAGCCGAGAGTGCTGGATCCAGCCATATCTGACACACAGCATACCCTTGTACTTTTCTCAAATAGGTTTTTGCATAAACCTATTTGAATTGGGTTGTCAAATACAACTGAAAGTCCTGACTCATTGACCACAAATAGGTCACATAATTTCTATGAGCCTTGAGTATCTTTTTACCCTGTATAATAGGGGTGGTGCTGGTGATGATAATGATGATGAAGTGATAATGATGATTACAATGGAAGTGATAATAATAAAAACTTCACGGGGTTACTAGAGCATCAAATGAGATAATAATTGTGAAAGTGCTTTCTGACTTGCAAATCCTGATATTAGCAGGTGCCATTTATGCTTTTGGCATTTTAAGACTCTTCTGTTGGCTCAGTAACTGGGAAAAGGCACTATATTAGTGAATACAATGCTTTTGAATTGTCTGCACATATGAGCACATACAAGCGAGTTAGTTCTTTCCTAACTACACCATTAATAGAGAAACGAGGCATGCACAGTGAAACAAAATCCTAATAAATCTCGAGTTACAAAATGGAGCTGGAAACATGCAGTGATTTCTTAATACATACACAAAGAGGGGCGCCTGGGTGGCTCAGATGGTTAAGCATCTGCCTTCGGCTCAGGTCGTGATCCCAGAGTCCTGGG